TAAAGTCTTAATTAGAAGATCAATCTCGGTGCCTTGGGAATCTGGGCGAAGCAATTAGAGATCATATACATGCAATAGTGGAATCCGTTAATCATCATGATGATACGATCGTTACTCTAAGATATTTTCTAAAGGGAATTGAATCTGAGCTCAGTAGTCCGATGATGAGATCGCTGGACTTGGTGTTGTGATGTGATCACAACGAATTTGCCTTATGAAATGGGACTTAGAGGGAAATACATGTTGAAGGGCAAAATGGTCATTTTGTCGACTTCAACATATTGATGGTCAAATGAAGGTTGACTTGTGAAATGGTGGTCGGAGGATATTGTTATCAAATCATAATTGGCTTTCATAACTTTCATTCGACTCAAGAGTGCAATCCCCCTTTTTTGGTAGAGTAAGCCGGGATTAATAGATATATCTCAATTGTTTAAGAGTTGACCCAATTAGAAATATTTATTGGAGTTTGAGTCTTGTAAGTCCGGTTAGGTCCCTCTTTTGGCTCCAATAAAGGTGTATGACTTAATTGGTCTACTACAATAAAGTTCAAGGATATTTGTGCAAATATGAAACCCTAATGGTATGTTATAAATATGCTCTTTAAGGGCACATTTACCAATGTTAGGGTTTTAGCCATTTTCATTCTCTCAAAGTGAGGAAAGGCACCTGAGAAGTACAAGGGAGGAGATCTAAGGGAGGAAGCATTTGGCTAGACTATTAAAAGCTCCTTCAAGGTTATCATCTCACCCTTTACGTGTTAGAATTTAAACAAAAACGTCATATATCTCAAGATGATCTAAGATCTACCATACTTTTGGGTTGAATCGACAAAGGAAAATTAATTTCCTTTTTGTGATAATTAAATATCCCAATTCCAACAAAGATTTGATGGATTTATGTCACGGTGAACAATCCATTTACCAAGGATATACTATATTTGCAATATTATTTTTAGAGGAAAATTAATGACTGATATACTATATTTGCAATATTAGTTTTAGAGAATGAATTAATATAATTGGCAAGAACATCCAAGAAACCGCCTTCCACGTAATCCATGAGGGTTGAATGTCAACAAAGGATTTATCGAATACTTTATGACATATATTGCACAATATTTGGAGAATTCATACAATGTAGGATTTCAATTTTTTGGCAAACTTGATTAGTAGCACCACCATGGATAACTTTTAGGGCATATGTGTTAGACAAAATATAATAGCAAAATTATATAATATCATTATACTAGAAAAGAACATACTATTAGTGAATTTCACCGATAAAATAGTAAACAAATTGATCGTCAAAAGAGAACAGATATGCAAACCGAGACCTGTGTAAATGCAGTATTCTTAAAACGAATTCGCTTTCTCACGGTAAGTACTTCAAATTTTTGTGAGCATCTGTCTCTTAGAATATAATGAAGAAACCTGTAGAAATTTAGCACGGTATTTCAACACTGACGAACTGATTCTATGTCTGAATAAATCACTAAGACCTTGAACGAAAACTCGAAATATCGAAGGACAAAACCAAGCAATCAAAAACTGGAAGTTATGTATACCGAGAATCTAGGAGAATTTTGTGTCTAGAGTGAAGGAATATGGACTGTATAAATGGGTTGTAACGAATGCATAAAAGTTGGGAAATACAGGTGTTATAATATTTAACACCAATATTAATCTGACTGTATAATGCTCAATTATACAGGTAATAAACGTAGCCATCTAGGAATTGAAAGGTCAGTTGGAGAAACCAAAATGTTGACACTCCTAAGGGTTAATATTTGGTCTATTTGGTCCGACGTTCATGTGGGCAGGTATTCCCGCACACAAGTTCAAGATCCGATGTGCATTTCGATCCGTAACTTACCCCCCCCCCCCCTCCGCCGCTCGCTCGCATAGAAAGAGCATCTTTGTCACACATAATTACACCATATATAAGGAGGTCATTTGCTTTTATCATCTTCATATGTGGGACAAATCACATATAGTTTTCCATATAGCACCTAGTTTCATACGTAAAAAAACGTTAAACTTCCTAGTTTCATACGCATGAAACTTGCGTGTTTAAACTCCTTCCAAATGGTCATGTTTCACAACTACGAAACATTTAAACTTTCTAGTTTCACGAGTATTAAACTTGCCTTTTTAGACTCCTTCCAAATGGTCTATTTTGAACTTCAATTTTTCATTCACCCAATTATCATTTTTGGCAAGTAAATATATGATTTCAATGTTTTCACGGAGGAGAACACGAATTAACTTTGATTTTTCAAAATGAATGAACGGGTCCCACTAAAAGTTATGAGCAGTAAATCCTACTGAGTGGAAAAAAGGAAATTAACCACATGAAGAAAGTTACCATAATTGAAGTGGGAAATTTAATGACTGATTGAAAATTTCCATACAAGAACAATAAGTTCAGGGAAACAAAGATTTTACCGTCCCTTAAAGTAATATATATTTTACTGAATTCATGTTATCCTTTTGTCAAATTTTTGTTCTATCATATACATCACTGTTTTGCTTTAAACATTCGAGAGATTTAACGAGCGTGGTTAAAAGATAGGATAATGCTATTTGTATATTCAAATTGTACATTGTTATTGACATAATGTGATATGTAAAAAATCTGATAATTGATTTGAATAATTGTTATTCAAATAAATGGTCAGATTGTGTGCCACATCACACTGTTTGAATAAAGATGCCAACAAAAGTATAAATGTACCATGATTGTAAAAGATAACATGGTAATTGGATCATCCGTTATTTTACCTAAGGTGTGCCCTTGGCCCCTGTTTGGTAGAGATTAAAATCAGATTTTTAGTAGATTTTAATAAAAGTTGATGACATCTGTGTTTGAAAAGTTGTGAGTCCTATGAAATGTGTAATTAAAATTAATTGTTGACTTCGACTTAAAATTTTAATTGTTTTTTGATCACATCAATTAACAATTAAGAGGACCTTAACCACTGGATTTATTTTTTTCTTAAAATAGTGATATAGAATGAGCATTTGTTTGGTAGCAATTTCTCAAACTCATTTTCAACTACAATTTTTCAGCACACGTTTTTTCAAGTTTTATCGAAATTTACTGAAAATCTACTTTTTACCAAAACAAAACCGGGACTAAATTTTATCAAGGGAAAAGTTTATGCATCAGACATTTTCTTTACCAAAATTAAAAATCAGGTCCTCAAGTTTAAAATTGTAAAAATCAGGTTTTACTTTGAATTAATTAATTATATTTCATAATTATTATATTAAATTAAATATTTAACTGTAATATAATAAAATCACCCCACCCCACCCCACCCCACCACCATTGCTCCGGCTACTACTCCGACGACCGGTGACTGCTCCGATCCGGCGACCG